TGAGATACAGGTGCTCAGAGGGTGACCAACTCTCAGTCTTTCATATTTTGCCCTATATATGTATGGGCTGGGTCTGTAAAAGTCCCATGAATCTAACCCTAAGTCAGAGTGGGTTTCCAGCATGTATTACTATGAATGGTGAGCCTATACGATAACTAAACTAAACTTAAAACAAACATTTAATATATTGCACATTACCTGTCCTTTAGGTGTTGTGGATGCATGTATTTACACTTTTCAGACTAAAAACATTTTCAGCAAGTACAGAAAATACCTGCTGATCTTGCCAGAAAAAGTGTACTTGTCACTTCCAGTGAGCTGAATTGTAAGCATAAAACAATGTTATCTTCCTTCCGTAAAATACCAATCTCCCTATCCCTGGTGTGATGCAGAGGAACAAAGGCAGACATGGTTGAGGTCCAGCCTGGGCAGCAACCATGGTTCCCTTCATAGATGCAGTGGAGAAGTTAGCATAGCCATCTCTGGACAGGATGTGTGTTATTCGCAGAACTACTAGCAGAACTACTATGTGCACATAAAGTAAAATATACCCGAAAGAAAGAAAACTAATGTAGCCTCCACATCTAAAGACTGGGTTTAGATATGCTTTAAGATTAACAGAACAAGAATAGCCAGTTGGGTCATTCCGTTTTCTGTATACCGCCACACATATCTTTTAATTTAAGTCAAGCAATCACTTGTAAAAAACCTCTTCAAAATGCACCAAAAGGACTCCTATTTTTTGATTGATTGTACCAATCACAAGACAACAAGTAGTTGAGACGTTTTGTAAGCTGCACAACACAAATAAATGTTCATCAAGGGGCAACCCACATACATTTCAAGAGACATTGTGGCTTTAGCACTAGCAAAAACTGAGGAAAGCCTTCAATGCCTGCCATTTTAGACAAAATAGGTTTGCCCAAGCCTAGCTTATCAAAACTGTGCTTAATAACAAATTAGCACAGAGAACACTCATTAAACTGCCTTATTCCCCAGTCATGAGTTTATCGGCTTGTACGATACGGAAACTGGGCAATATATCAAATATTGTTGTCTGTTATCATGCAAAAGGTGTAAAAGAAAACAGAGAATTGCAGTTGTTTTTGTACTTTGTGTACATACTGGGTGTGTTCAAATGAACTTTTCCAGCGTAGTGCTGATTGAACACACAAAACAATTGAAAGATTTGCTCCAGATCTCTAGACGTGCCTGTTTTTCCTATCTTTTGGGTGGGAATGCAGATAACTGAGTTTATAGAACTGATAGAGGAAATATGTGTTGTGAAAAGGTACAGAGATGGTGACAGAAGAAAGGGTTCATTTATAAAAACATCTGGTTAAGAAAAACAGCCATGTCGCCAATAGCAACCAGGCAAGAGCTTGCTTGCACTCCACCCTCACTGTAACAATGACCACTTGAACCTAATTGCTAGAGACACTTCCCTTCGAGTCCAGACCATATGAAATGAAACAAGTGAAAAAGAAAAAAAAAGGAGGTGTATCCAAAAACGTTAATCATGTTACAGTTGTCCTTTTCTAACTTGATGCTTGGGTTGCTAGCCATGGCAACGAGGTTGGTGTTTTTGCATACTACATACAAGTTGCTACACACCACTTGCAATAGCCAAAAGGTAATCTTCTAGCTCCCTCGGAACATGTAAATTCACCTGACCATACCGTAAGTTCAAAGTGTGCACCATGAGTCAAAATGATCTCTACTGAAACTATCCAAAGACATATTTCTAGAGAAAAATCTTCCAGAGAAAGGCCATCATAATCAGAAATTGTGCTTTGCATAAGAATGGCTGCTTGTCTGACAATAAGTCACGAGTGACCAAACTGGTCAGCCACTTGACTTTTCAAAAATGTTTTGCATATTTTCTGCTTCGTCCTGGTTTCAGATTAAAATAAAGGGCTTCATGTGCTCAACTTGGGTGTTAAGCCCAGTCCCCAAAGCTACATTCCACCATCTTCCTGTTTATTAAAAGCACCAGTATTGGCTACTGAAACACTCTTATTGGTCAGATGGAAAAGAGGTGGGCTGAAGCTCCAGGGGACAGGACAGGCCCTTTGCTAAGGAGATGTGTGTTATCTCAGTCAATAAACAGCATTGACTTTAATACCATGGAGTGCGAGTGACTACTTTCATCTATCTACATTTCACGGAGGCATCCGTTGTCACCACCGCACCCACCCAGTTGGATTTGGGTTTTTGTTCGGTCAGAAGTGTGATGGGACAGGAGGATTAAGGCCCCAAAGTAAGGTAAATAAAGTTCCAAGTAACAAACCTTATAGTGCCTGCTCTAAGGCTTTGGTTTTACTTTTGAATGTTTTAAAGAGATCCATTCCCACAATTGCAACAACCAATAGTTGATGTTTAGCTAGAACACAAAATTACATTACTTTTAAAGCTATGTTTTGAATTTGAGGAACTACTTAAAAAAACCATATAGATCAATTTGACTCATGTTCTTTCTAACAGTGAAAATATGGAATGACAATTTTCCTCTGACATGAAAACACCCCTCCCACTTTCAAAACACACTACTTCTCTTTCTCTGTTGAGTGGATGTATTAAAAAAAAAAAATCAAAGCAGTTTAGCAAATATATGCCTTGACATACTGATTTAGTAAGTGCTACTGAAATAGAGATGTCAACTAAGAATGACGCAAATGGAATCTAGCAATATACAGCCGGCTGCACAGGCCAGAAGACGGAGCTTGCCTGATCCCCCTGTATGTCTGTGTGTCCCAGACTCATCCAATATAAATGCTCTCTATAATATAGGACAATTGGGTAGTATGGAAAACAGTACAAAGAGCTGGCCACATATTCCAAATGATTTGCAGAATGGTCTCACTGTGGAAGAAGCAGTTGGCAATCTTGCGGTGTACCAATGAGTCTTGGCGTTGAACTGCAACTGAAATACTATTTGCATTGAGTTTCTATGCTCTCCCTATGTTTGAGTGGATTTCCTACCATAATCCAAAACCATATTGCTGGTTTAGTTGGCTTCCTCCAAATCAGCTGTGAGTGAGACAAATATATTTGGCTTTGAGCTCCTTTGGGGGCAGGAACTGAGGAGAATGGTAAAGCGCTAACACTTAAATATAAATACAAGCGGCAGTGCAGGACAGAAGAGGAAGTGGGGGACAGCGCTGGAGTGGATGACAAGTACTGGGCCACATTTTTTTTTCAAATACGGGAGGGGAGGGCTTATGACTGGAAAAAGTTTTAGATACACTTTAAAGTTGGAAAAAAGTCTTTATGTGCATTCTTGTTACAGATCATGTCTAACATGAAAGAGTCAGCATGATAGCCAAGCAACAGGCATTTTTAGCAATGGCAACCTCCATGTTTTGCTCATGACAGGTTGTCTTCGTGGTCGGGTATATACATAGCGTATAATAGATAATCTAGTGTGGGCTGAGTTGTGCCTATAAGCATGAGGTGTGCCCGTGGCCACGCTGTTAAGTACGCCTAAAAGGAGGCATACCAAATGAAAAGATGATGGAATTTAAAATTAGAAATGAGTGGGGACAAACGCTTCCCCTACAACGTCAGCTATGGGAAGAGGAGGGGTTTATATAGCCCTAATCCACTCCCACAAATACAGCTTAATAAATTAACCTTACTACTTATGAATTTAACTAAACTGATTTTTTTTTTTTAAATCTTTGAGTTAAACATGTCTCCCTAATGTGTCTGTACAATAAAAGGATGCCATTTGTTCCCATCCATCATAAAACCTTTTCCACAAGCCTCAACCCCTTACTACAGATTTCATCAGACTCAGACTTGAGTTATTCTTGCCATCAATGCTGATCGTGTCCACAAACAGAAAATCACAACTAGGTTTGTCAGAAAGAAGTAAACGATTGTTCCATGTTTCACATGGAGATTCAATCCACAACCTTCTCGCACCTAATAATTTTGATCTGATACCTTTAAAAGTCAAGTTTTTTGCCAGGTACAGAGGTTGTAAAAACAGGAAAGAGCTGTTATATGAAAAGGAGTGGCTAAAAAAAACAGCTTTGTATATCCCTTTCTCAATGGAGTGAAAGGAAAATGCTGACAGCAAGACTTCAATTCTTAGCAGAACTCAGATCAAGACTGAGAACTGGAGCTAGCTGCATAACTGTTGGCGGATCACACTCCAGATGGACTGCCACTTACAGCCAGCCGCTGTTAGAAGCCAGTTGTTGCACACTTTGCTGTAAATCCTGTATGCCTAAAAAGACATCCTATGGTGCTGACCTCTGCACCAGGGAAATGAAAAAATTTATCCTATTGTGTGACTGATTTAAACAGAAGCCAGGTGCTCCGTTTGTACATGCAGACAGCCAACAATTTTCTCTGTAACTCTGCCCTAAAACTGGCAGTATGAAAATTATAGATTTATTGAGCGCCAAAAAAAAAAAAGAGTCTGACCTTAAAGTTAACGTTTCCTACAGGATTATTTAAACATGCGCAAGACGCGAAAAAGGTGTCGCTGGAGAGATCAATGGACCTTGCCCAATGTAAGTGCACATTCCGCCGCAGTACGTAAAAAGTTACTATGTTCAGGGAAAAGAGCTGAAAGTGTTTAACCCATTCTTAATTGCTTTGGGGCTGCTGAACAATGATAGCCATATAACAAGTGGCATTCATTTTACCAAAAACGTAGCCCAGCTATATACTTAAAGTTGATCTAAACCCAATCACTACAACCTCACATACGTTTTAGAATGTTAGTGTAATTTCAAAAGTAATTTACAATCTTTCTAAATATACATCATTCATTAGAATAACACCCAATGACCTTGCCATGGAGGTCCTTCCCCAGGAACTTTTTAATACATCACGTGTTAAATGTCTACCGCATAGGAGTTCAGTAACTGATTGTAAGAGATTTGAAAACTGTCAGATATAAGAGCATTTACTTTAGGGAAATACTTTATGGGGCAATGTATACATGTTTGATCTCGATTTATTATTAAAAAAAGTTTGAGCGTTTAATACTACTTTGAAAACTGAATTCTGACTCTCTATTTTCTGAATGCTTGCTCCAATCCTGGGACCCAGAAGCAATCTGGTTAGACACAGCCAGTCCATTAGTCTAAGAGGTAGGTAGCAATGGTAGCCAATGCGTGTGTGTCTCATGACAGGTACACATTCTCTTTTACAAAAAGGGAATCTTATGAAAGCACAATTAGGGATATATGTGTGACTATAGATTTTACCGTACCCAATATCCAATATGCAGAGTATATGAAATAGGCAGCCCATAGCTTCTGAATGCAGCTCCTAGCTCATCACTGTGCTAGCAGCTGAGAACAGTTATTATTAGGTCAAAAACTTCCAATATGGTATATAAATTTGAATCAAATAAAATATAATATCTGAACATTTTCTTCCCACTACACAGATCTTCAATCATCTAAAGGCATCATACCTGAAGGAATGTACATGTCTTTTACTCCATAGTCATCCAAGGCTCACTTAGATTGAGATTGTAAAACAGATGTCCCCAAAGTCTTTACCCCATTCGACAACCTTTTATGATCCAAATACTAAGATCAGCTGTATATTCCTAAGCATCTGTACAATGCTACCACTCCGAGCTGCGCATGTGGGCAGGTAGGGGATAATAAACAAAAAACATTAAACACCTGCACTTTTTAGGATTGCTTCTTGCTCCGCATAGGCATTATGGAGAATCCTTTCAGCTTGTGTCAGCGGCAATTCAATAACATCCAAATTAGGATGGCACACCACAGAACATCTGGATGGGCAGCTATAGGGTCAACAACTTCAATATTTCAATATAAAAAGTGCAAATCCATTGGCAAGCTAATGACAATCATAGATGGGCAGCTGACTCACCAATAGCAACAAGTGTGATTGATATGTCCATTCCAGTTTGAATTATTTACCAAGGACAAGGCATGATTGGAGTTTAGTCGTGCAGTAAAATTCCAAGATACTGGAAAATCTCTGCTTGCTACAAAACGCACATCCAATTCCTAAAGATACTCACTACTGCTGTCTAGTTAATCCTTATTTGGCCTGTATAACATTTGGACTTACTTGAGCAGAGCTATAGAGATGTACTCACAAAAACGTTCTTAAACAATACAATTACAAACCCATAAAAAAAGTATTTATGCACACCTTATTGTCACGTACCTCTCTCTCTTTGGAGTGAGAAGTGAGATCTGGCCATTGGTTGATGACTGATGGTTGAGGAGCAAGGAGGTCTTGGGGGCGACCACCGAAGAGACGCATGTCGTGGACAGGTCCAAACTACTGTGGTTATTACAGCCATCATCCGCCGTGTGCGAGCTAGTCACTTCTTTCCAGAGCTGCTGCAGCTCCGCTGGAATCATGCCTGAAACAAACAAATTGGATAATTAAATCAATTAACGGCTAATTCAGCCCTCCTCAAACAGTAATTAAATCAAAAGAGTCAGTAAACAAAGACTGAACCGTTTTCTCCCCTACAAAGGATAATGAAATGCAACAATTCATTCTTTTCTGCTATGGTATTTGTTTAACTAAAAGGAGATTATTAATCTTAAAAGTAGAGAGGGGGGGGCTGAAAAAAGTACTAGGAGCATGTTGTATCTAACCGAGAATTCTCATCATCATACAAATTATCTTTGTTTTAATGAAATTGTTCCCAGGAGTTAAAATGACACAAGTATCCTGGTTCGGTGAGAATAATCAGCAAAGCAACGGTATGCCATGACATTATATTTGTCACAAGTTTCACGAATTAGCTTTTACCTTTATGATATAGGATTAGCCAGCTTTCAAAGATGAATTCTACTACCTGGATCTAAACTGATAAGATAATATACAATACATAAAAATTACATACAAGTATGGAATGAAGAAAAAAATCAGCCACTGTGGGTGAGCATTCCTCCTTAGCTTGTTATTGCTGGGCATGTCCAAACAAGTATTTCCCCCATAAACTAAAACAAACTTTCCTTTTTGTGTCAATCATGAGAATGTAATGGTGGGGTGGGTACAGGCAGAGCACAGCTTTCAGTGACTCCCAATTTCTTAAAGCAAGGAAGAGGCAGACAAGGTTTAGTCGATCAGCTCAGCTGAAAAACAGTTATCCCACTACTCTACTTTTTTTTTAATCAAAAACCAATGCAGGACATATGCCATATATACAGTCTTAAAAGGGTTTTTAAATTTAATCTGAAGGTGTAATTGCACTTCTAACAAAAAAAAACCTATACCTCCCACTGTCCTCCTGATCAATTTTGTAAATTGGATTAGTGATATCAGATGGAGATCAAAGTATATTCTCCTGGTACATTGTTTGGATTATCTTTTATTTGGATTATCCAAATCATTTTTAAACCCAACTTTCATTCCATGAGCATGCTCCAGGGCCAGTGTAAGTGAACATTAAAAGAGAAATGTCTTTATATAGATAATAAATATTACATGCTGCAGATTCTAAACAGCTTTGACTGAGACAAAGCCATTGGTGGGCTGTGCCAATAAGTCTTTTGAAGAGATCTTTCTTCCTCAGTTTTGTCATTAGGACCAGAGATAAATTGCTGTAGGCCCTAAATGGTACTGAAGCATTGGCTTACCTTTAGGGTACCCTTTGTCAACTGGCTGCGGAAGAGTCAACTCTTCCACCCCCCCCCACACACACACACACACACACACTGTACCTGGGCTACTATCTAGCAGGAACAGTCAATACGCAGGTTGGGCAATCTGTTTCTTGTACAGAATAAGTAGAACTGGAAGTGCCTTTTGCTTTCCCACCACTATATACTGTATATAGAAATGATGCTCAGTTGCCCTCTCATGTGTTTGCCACAAGTTTTTGATTGCCTAACCTGACAGCCATCACATCTTGTGTGTGTGTTTCCGAATGCCCCCAAATGTGACATAACTCCAATCATTTTGCAAGTCCCATAGCACAAACTCATTTTTTTCTCTTGTAATGGAATTTTAATATCAGTGATTTTAAATAAGTAAACAAATGATCTAGACCCCATGCAGGCTCATACTCTGGCAAAGACTAGGCCCCCAACTTGTATGCAAGAGACAGGGACTCATCAATAAAACAGTGAAGTATGTGAAAGTCCACAGCAACCAAACAGGATTCATTTTTTACTGTCTAGAATGTAGAATTCATACTTCATGCTATGAGTTACTGCTCTTTGCACACACTCATTGTCCTGTGCACAGTCATTGTTCTTTGCACACATTGTTCTTTGAACTTTGCACACAGTCATTGTTCTTTGCACTTTGCTCGCAGTCATTGTTCTTTGCACACAGTCATTGTTTTTTGAACACAGTCATTGTTCTTTGCACTTTGCACACAGTCATTGTTCCTTGCCCTTTCCTATTGAACAACCCCACCGAAGCATTGCAAAAGTGCATCTGTATGTGTACTACTGCTTGAACCCAACCCCTTCCCCACCATCAAAAGTCCTGTGTAACGCAGAATATTGTGACAAAGTAACATGTAATGAAAGACACATATTTTTACTTGCGTTTTAAATGAAGACAAATAGCTTTGTTATGAAATACATTTTTTATTAATCACGCCGCAACATAAATTATTCATTCATATTGTCTCCTTGAAATGCTTTTCACTTTTTAACAGTCAAATTGATTACACTATGATTATTTCATTAACACACCTATCTCTCTCATTAATTTTGGTTTCTAGTACTGTTCGCTTAATTGATGGATGTGTCTGCACAAAAAATACATAACTTTCTATAAAGCTCACCCAGTTATTACTGTCAGGGCTCAGATCAATGCTAATGAGCAAGAAGGGGAGGGCAGAAATGTAAAACCAGCTTTTGGAAGAGGTATTATTTAATTTTTCCTTTTGTTCTAGGAAATTGGACAGCTGCGGCATCAATAAAACAACTCTGAGCAATTCTGAAGTTGCCCCTGTAACTGCTATAACCGATGTTATCACCTATTAAAACGACTATATATTACATTGTGCAATTACAGGGTCAGGGACCTAGCTTTACCAACAGCAGCTTCAAAACACAGCAACTGTTTATGCCTTAAATTTGTTTATATTAAAAGGAAAGCTGAATTTTGATTGGTTGCTATAGACGACACACGTGTTTCACTTCCTCCTGTTCGTTAGGACCGGTTGTGCTATAGATGTTTATCCCATGTGACCTTTATCATGGAGCAGTATGGTAGTAAAGTAAAGTGTATGTAAACCCTATGAAAAGACTTTGTTTGCTCCCTTTGCTCTTTTAAATACACTTTGTTATATGTGTTTGATTAAAAAAAAAAAAGCCTACTTATAATGCCCCAAATCTGGTAAGCTGAAAACTTTCTGTGCTGACTGTTATCAGTTAGTATTACCCTCTCTCTGGCCTACAAAAACCTCCCCCATATGTTATGGAGTCCTAAAACAAGATGCCCTAGGGTGACAATGCTGCTTCTCTATAGATATAGTGTGGTGAGTGAGTGTTGTCACCTTAGGACAGTAAGTGGGTTACTGGCAGGATCACCAGGTGAGAATAAAGGAAAATTAATTCAGCCACCACATGCATGGAGTGGTAAGCTACAATATATAAAATATTTGTTGCAATGGTTTAGATACAATAATGTCTTAAGGCCTTAGTTTTAAAACCACCCCACACTCCCAGTGCAAAAAGTTTGTATGCTCTGCTGGTATCTGGAGTGACATCTACAGTCCAATTCAATAAAAGCTTGCAAAGTCGGAAATCCTCTGCCTGCAAGCCCTGGTATTCACAAGAGACTTGCGGACTCCTTTCTAAGCCCCACTGCTCACAGGCTGGAATTTTCTGATTTCATTCTACAAGCCCTTAATGAAAATACTTAGATAAACAAGGCTATTAAAGGAGAACTATGGGGTTAAGGCTTTCCCCCATAGTTCTCCTTAGGGTAAGCGGGAGGACACAAACTAGCATCCTTCCGTCACCCCAGGCTGTAGCTCGCGGAATACTGAGACGCCGCAGCTGAAGCGAATCCTGACAATTATGCCGGGATTGAATGCGTTTGTAAGATTTAACTCCTGCGTTTAGTGTCACTTTAACCTTTCCCTGCCCTATTCAAAACTTTAAAAAAATATATTTTGGTTATAGATACACATTAAAGTGATATTAAAGCCTCAATTATTTTTAATGTTTCCTTTAAGTAGACCCTCCTTTGCTGGAGGCTGTTGCTGCTTTTCTTTAAAACGGTTTAATGCCTAGTTTTCAAGTGGGTCCCCGCAGCGCTCTTCCCCCAGGCCCCTGGGTGCCACCATCGTTCTAATGGAGGCGCACGTGCGCGCGGTGGCTGTGTGCGTCCACAGACACACACAGCCCTGTGGCAGGCCACGCCCCTTCCCTCTTTGATTGATGGTTCCTCTGCCATCAGTATCCTCCCCCCGCAACCCGGAATTTCGGGGAACAGAGGATCGCTTTGGGACCGGCGGCGAGGACGAGCGTCGCTGACAGGTAAGTGTGGGGGCAACTGAGGGGGACTGAGGGTGCCAGGATCGCTTCTGTTGTAAAGCCGACAGTCGGCTCTACAAGTTTAAACAGAGTCCCGGCGGCAAAAGTCGCCGGGAGTCTGTTTAAACAGCCCCGATGCTGGCGACGTACACTGTACGTCGTCAGTCACGAAGGGGTTATTACTACTTTAAGTGTATTGGTTTTAAGCTAAAGTAGCATAGAGTGCTGAGTGTGGTAGGAACAGTAGAGTGTAAGTTCTGAAATGTACTCAGTAAAGAGACTGAGAATGAGTTGTTGCAATATAAAAATTAAAAATGTATAAATAATTTTACCAAACATGTGGACATCTTGTATGCCATTCAGTAAATTTATGCAAAGAAAACAACGTTTAAAAAAATTTAAAAATAAATAGCAAAGGGTATTTTTTTTGTCTTTGTACTAATAGGGCTGCATCAATCCTGTGACAACTTATTGTATATTCCAATGCCAGCATTTAATTGCTTTTTTTTTTTTTAAACTACGATGTATACCTTTAATTGCGCGGGAGCTGTAAAGGCTTTCATTAGCGTCACCAGAATTTAAATCACAGTCCTTTCAAGGTGCTACATTAAAAATAAAACAGGCGGCTGAGATTTTATTGATTCAGAACACATCATAAAAAAATGCTGGGGTTTTAAATTTAATTTTTTTTTTCATTTAGAATACAATGCGCAGATAATCATCTCAACGTGATCAGCCAAACATCTTTACTTCTCTAAACTGTTAAAGATTTTAATTATACCGGCTTCGAAGAGCAATGGTCTAATGAGGCAATAGGCTCTAGAGAACGTAAGTGGCTAAGAACTGTGAAATGAGTCTGATAGAA